CTCTCATTGTGGAGCACAGGTTTAGCTGCCCCAAGGCCTGTGGGGGAATCTCAGTTCCCCAATCAAGGACTGAACCCGCGTCAGGGATTGAACCTTCATCCCCTGCATTGGAAGGTGGATTCTTAACCACCAGGGAGTTCTTTCCTTTTCTTGAGAACTTTTTGATGAGATCAGAGGGAGGTTAATCAATGTGATTTTTTAAATATTGTGTTATGGAATGTGTCAATATTGGAAGATGTCCATAACTCAGTGAGTCAATCTTTTCCAAATGGCCAATGTTGGATGTTACATAATCATGTGTGGGTGAAAAATCAACCCAAAATAAGATCAACCAAATGAATTTTAATGTAACAAAGTACTAAAAGTTCACTGAGGTGGTCTGAGATTCAGCACTCACTGCAACTAACTATAATTTGTCCAATTTGGGACAAAAAGGAATCTCACAATTATTTGAAAAGGCTATTAACGTACTCCATCCATTTTCATCTACATTTCTGTGTGAGGCTGGATTTTCTTCACACATTTCAGCCCAAGCAACGCATTACAATAGATTGAATACTGAATCAAATATAAGAACCTGCAATTAATGACCTTTCTGAAAAATACAAATTCCATTCTCCTACCTAAATAGTCTCTATTTTGAAAAATTACAGTTATTTTGCACAACATATAGGTTAGTTATAACAGGTGATGAGTTTGTTATTTTTAAATAAATGACTAACACATGTTGATAGTTTTTTAATTTTGTAGTTTTCATTTTGAATACACTAAATACAATAGATATAACCTACATAAACAAGGGCTCTTTGGATTCTTTAATGATTTTAAGAGTGTAAAGGAGTCTTTTTCTACATTTATTTTTTAAGATTCTTTTTTTTTTATGTCAACCATTTAAAAAATCTTTATTGAATTTGTTACAATATTGTTTCTGTTCTATGTTTTGGTTTATTTGGCTGCCAGGCATGTGGGAGCCAAGGATCAAACCCACACCCCCTGCACTGGAAGACAAAATTAACCACTGGAACACCAGGGAAGTCCCTAAAGGTGTCTTAAGATCAGAAACCTGGAGAGCTGTTGCGCTAACTTATATTGTGTTAATGGTTCTAAATTCAAAATATTCCAAAAGTAGCTGGGTTTCACATTTAACAGAAGCTAGGTAGGAAAGAAATCCCTGGAGGGCTGTAGTGTAGAGTTAACCTTTAAAGGAGGCTTCTCCTTCTTGGGTGCCCTGCAGGGGTCTCCATTCGGGGTGCGTTCACTGCAGTGAGCGCTTCTGGGGTGGGAGAGGGGAATTGCCTTTCTCTGCTTTGTCCGCAAAGTACACAAAGACTGTTTGAGACTCTAAGTAAACTTCTCAAACTACCTTGGAAAGGGCAAGTGTGGAAGTCATGGATTTGGAAGATATTTGCCCAAAACCTAACCCTAACCTAGGTAGGGGAGCTCCTGGGAAAGCCTTCCTGTACCCCAAGGATGGGGTACCCCAAAAGATGGGCTTGAGGCCCAGTTTAAAAGAGGTGGGGAGGGGAAAACACAGACTTAAGAGACTGGATGTCCTGAATCAGGACCCCTTAAAGTCATTCCATTTTCTTTCTTTTATTGGAGTATAATTGCTTTACAATATTGTGCCAGTTTCTGCTGTACTTACAAAGTGAAAGAGCTATAGGTATACGTACATCCCTTCCCTCTGGAGCCTCCCTCCCTTCAGGCATTTTTGGAAGCAGACAGACCTCTCCACAGCCCCAGGGACATAGAAGCCCATTTGCTAACTAACATGTGACTGAGTCCCATTCCTGTGGCCCGTGACTCATCCAGCAGGGTCTGGCTCCTCGGTGTGGCTCTTAGGCTGGGTGATCTGGCAGCCTGTCCCCTGGGGCTGATCCCCAGTTCTGCTTGGGCAGAGCCAAGCAGCTTCCTTGAGATCCCCCAGTCTCAGAGCCACACCTGTAAAGCCAGGGTAACAGCCTGGACTCTGCATTCAAAGGACCTGGCTCACATTAGTGGATTAATAATGGCCATTTCAGTGCTCACTGTTGTCCAAGAACCATCAAGGGCCCTTCATTTATCAGATTTAGTCCTCACAAAAAGCCTGGAGACTCACGGCAGTATTGCTTTACCTCTAGGGAGACTTTTGGTCTACATTTGGGTGGTGGTTTAGTAGCTAAGTCCTGTCTGACTCTTTGTGATGTCATGGACTGCAGCCTGCCAGGCTCCTCTGTCCCTGGGAGTTCACAGGCAAGAATACCGGAATGGGTTGCCATGCTCCCTTCCAGAGGATCTTCCCCTCTCAGGGATTGAGCCCAGGTCTCCTTCATTGCAGGCAGACTCTGTACCAACTGAGCCACCACGGAAGCTTGGTTTAACACAACAGAAATCAGATTTCATCTTGCATTGGTTGTGCAGATGGTTCATTCTCTTTTGTACAAAAAGTTAATAAACTGATGGTGTATCTTACAAAAACATGGTATGAGTCTCCCCATTTTATGGGTGGGGAACAAGTTAAAAAACAGGAAGCAACTTGTCCAGGTCCACACATGGAGGTCATGGTGGGACAGAGATGAACCCAAGACCATCTTCCTCCTGCAGTGCAGGAGACACCGGTTTGATTCCTGGGTAAGAAAGATCCCCTGGAGAAGGGTTAGGATAGACTACCCACTGCAGTATTCTTGGGCTTCCCTGGTGGCTCAGATGGTAAAGACTCTGCCTGCAGTGTGGGAGACCTGGGTTTGATCCCTGGGTTGGGAAGATCCCCTGGAGGGCACGGCAACCCACTCCAGTACTCTTGCCTGGAGAATCTCCATGGACAGAGGAGCCTGGTGGGCTACAGTCCATGGGGTCGCACAGAATTGGACATGACCGAGTGACTAAGCACATATTAACTATTATAAAATAATGGCTATACTCCCTGCGTTGTATAATAATATATCCTTATAGCCTAGTTATTTTATACGTGAGTTTGTATCTCTTACTCCTCCATGCTTTTGTTGTTTTTATGCAAGTTCTCTTTATCATGAGCTTAGGTGTATGTCAGAACCTGTAGGTTGAAACCACTGCCTTCATATCAAGGTTACCTAGGCCATTGGGGCTTCCCTTGTGGTGCTAGTGGCAAAGAACTCACCTTGCCAATTCAGGGGTCACAAGAGACCTGGGTTCGATCCCTGGGTCGGAAAGATCCCCTGGAGAAGGAAATGGCAGCCAATTCCAGTATTCTTGCCTGGAGAATCCCATGGACAGAGGAGCCTGGTGGGCTACCATCCATGGGATAGCTGAAGCCTTGACCCAAACTGCTCACATTGTTTCAAAAATGTGAGGTCCAGGGACTTCCCTGGCAGTCCAATGGCTAAGACTCCACGCTCCCAATGCAGGGGGCCCAGGTTCAATCCCTGGTCAGGGAATCAGATCCCACACGCCACAACTAAGAGCCTGCATGCTGCAAGGAAGATGTGGTATAGCCATTTTTTTTTTTTAAGTGAGTTCCAACTCAAGTTGATAAAACAACTATTAGAACTTAACTCTAACAAACTTCAGTTGTTCTCTTTTTAAGATTGCCAAGGACTAACTACAAGCCTTTGTCCAAGGATCTAGAAGAGTTGTCATGTTTTTTCTCACTGCTCTGGATGTGTTTCCAATTTACATTTTAGAAAAATTGGGGGTTGTCTAATTTGTTGCAAATATCCACTAGCCTGTGGTTTTGCTTTTGCTCATGTTCAAGGTTTTTGATGACCTTGGACTTAAAACATTCATAAGATGGAATCTCAGTATTTCCTTTGTAGTTTCTGTTATTGCTTTTAAGCCTTGTCTCTGCCCAACCAAAGTTATTCACCAACATTTTCTTCTCCTTTGTTAATAAATTTGATGTTTTGTAAAACACTTAGATGGTGCAATTCTATGATTTGATTAGCTTTTTCATCCGAATAGTTGGCCAATTCTCCTGCTACAGCTTATTTAAGTGATTCCAATTTATGAGCATCTCCACTGAGCTGGTGGGAAAAGTGGAAAGTTAGCCAAGGGCGAAGTGAGATGAGTATCAGTCTGCCTGGAGGCCCCTCCCCTGCCCAGGTCCGCAGGTGGGAACACCTGGTGTGAAGGCAGGCGCAGCCCTGCCCTCGAGATGCACGCCACCGGCTCTGTTTGCTCAGAGGTCACTTTGCTGAGGCAATCCTTCCTAGACACCCAGGCCCACCCCCACCCTGACTCCACACCCCCTCTCTATGACACGGTGCAATCTGCTGCCTCTTAAAAGCACTAGTCAGTTTCTCGGAAGGACCTAAGAAAGGTGCAGTCTGATTTTACGTAGGGAGTTCCGGAATCCAGACCAGGGCTCCCATATTCTCCCCACTGAAGACCCTGACCATGCTGGCCACCAGCCAGGCCCCAAAGGGAGCAGGCTGGAGGACAGCCCCTGACTCCCAGCCCTGCAGGCGAGCAGCTTGACCTGACCTCTCACAGGCTCCACTGCTAACTCCGTTACCCTGGCGAGACCAAAAACACGCAGAGGGGAAATTTTATGATGGTTAAAGACACAAACCTCAGAGTCCCAGGCACTTTGACTTGAATCCTTGAAATTCTCCATTAAAAAGCCTTGGGGGACATGACTGACCTTTGCTGAGCCTCAAACTTTTCATCTGCAAAGCAGGAGGACAGAAACAGCCTCCCCTACCCAGGACATGCAGGATAAGGATCACAGATCATTAAGCCATCCGCACTGCAGCTGTTTGATGGAATGACTTTATCTGCTGCAGGTGAACTTCAAGTCCTAGGGATTTTTTTCGGCTGAAAGGCATGTGGGACCTTAGCTCCCTGGATCAGGGCTTCAACCAGTGCCCCCAGCAGTGGCAGCGTGGAATCCTACCCACCACTGGACCACCAGAGAAGTCCCTACACATCCTGGTTAAAGGAAGGTGATGGGGCTGAGTGGCGGAAACTTGGTGGAGTGACCCCCAGTGTGGTTAAAGAGTCTTCCTGTCCCTTCCCCCAAAAACGACAAAGGGGTGCTTCACCTGTGTATTTCAACCAGGTATTTTATTGTTCTGGCAACTGCAAAATATACAAATTTCCGACAGGCTTTCCGTCTGAAAGCTGGCCTAGCTTCATCCCAGGTAATTAATTTGGACAAATTTATAGAGAACACAGAGAAGTCAGAAGTCACACGTAAAAGGCCCCCAAGCCCACCAACCAACAAAATGCAATCTATACAGCTTTCCATCTTCAGGATCCCTTATACATATTAAATAAATAAATAGCACATCTGCTATCAAAATAATAAAAAAATAAATTTCAAGTATTAGAAACGAAAACGTCATTGGCGTGGTTCAAACAGTCTTTCTTCCCCACCCCCAAATGAAGAGCTTTGCCCACAGTCTCAAGACAGAAGAAGGGGAGGGGCAAGCCCACCCCAAAACGAATAAGCGAAGTTAAAAATATTGGTCCCAGAAGCTTCTGGGGGAGGGGAGTGACAGCCAGTGATCAACGAGGCAGAAGCAAGCCAGTGGTCAACGAGGCAGAAGCCCCGTGGCCGCGGCTCAGACACAGCCTCCGCCCGCCCCTCCCTCCCTGGAAGTCCGGTCTGTGGCCCCTGGACCTCCCGCCTCTGCTCTCGGCCTGTCCCCCCTCCCTTCCCCCACACTGGGGTTCTCTCTCCACATCAAAGCCCCTGCAAACCAAGGTCCTGGTCGGGCCAGGCCTCCTTTGTAAATGCACCAATTTCGGGCAGTCAGAGGCCAGGATAAGCACTCAGATCAGCCGTCACGAGTCAAAAGTCAGGGTCAGCTCCAACCACCAGAGGAGGAGCCAGAAGGTGGACATAAGAGCCGTCCTCAGGAGGAGGGCAGCAGGCCCCTCCATCTAAACACAGACACACGCACACGGACACACACGACAAGGCAGCAGGAAAGAGGGAGAGTATCACAGGCCCTGCACAGGAACACAGACAGACAGACATCACCTTGGGAAGACGGCCAGTGATGGGAAGGGAGGGTTTGAAGTTTGATGTGAAACCCACACACCTGATGGTAGGGCCTCTGAATCGCACTCTCGCTCCCCACTGAGTCCCAATCAGAGAAACATGCATTTTTCTTCTAAAAGCTCCTCTCAAACAAAAAATACAAACAAAAACAGCTCCTCTCCCCACTCCAGGCTCCAGCTGTCTAAACGGCCCCCCACCCCCATGACTACTTCACAAGCTAAGAGGGGGAAGGAGCGGGGAGGGCAGGAAGAGAAGGTGACCTTTGGCACTGGCTTCTAGAGATTCTGAAAAGGGTCACTGGATAAGATCTACCTCCCCGTTCACACCGCTTCTCCTGGGCCTTGACCCCCTCAAGTGCCCGGAGGCCCCAGGGGAAGACCAGCAGGCAGAAACTACAGGTGTTCAGAACCACGTGTCCACAGCCTGCTCTGAGCAGCCCCCACTAGAAATGCCAAGGGTGCCTCGAAGGCAAGTGAGGACATCCTCTCCTCCAGACCCGCCCAGGGCAGCGCTCCGCGCTGAGGACACAGCAGGTCTCCACATGCACACAGGGTGCCGCTCCGCACCTTCCGGCCAGCCTCCCGGAGGACAAGGCCATGAGCACGGCCTGGCTCGGGTCACTGTCCCCACCCAGGAAGCACAGGAGGGGACGAACGTCCCGGAGGAGGGGGCCAGGTCGTTGTTCCGCATGCTGTCGTCCGGGGTCAGTCTTGCAACAATGCCAGTGCTCGCTGCCTGGCCATTTATGGGGTAGGGGGGTCCCCTCACCTCCCCAGAGGCACACCCGGCTCCCACAACCTTCCAGAGCTCCAGCCCCAAGGGCACAAACCCCGAGCAACTTCAGTTGCCGAAGGTGAGATGTTTCAGGCCCCATTCTCTGCCGTTAAGAAAGTGCACAGGCCAGCAGGCCCGGGAGCTGAGCAGGGAGCTTGCGCTGGAAGGCGAGGCTCCCGGGGCTGTTTCAGCAACATATTTCCTCCTGCCAGACTGTGCCATGCCCTCCTCAGAGGCAGGACAGACCCGGGAGGGTGGGCAACACGCAGAGGGCTGCTGCCTGGCTGACCAGCGGGTCCAGCACGGGGCTCCTCTCTTCAGCTGCAGGACTGGCTCTCCTGGGTAGGCCCCACCCAGCTCAAGCCATGAGCTTCCCTTCAGGAGGCAACGTCCAGGCCAGATGCACAAAGAGCCTCTTGGAAGCTTTCATTCCCTTGACCCTCAGCGGCTGAGAGCCTGGCCCCCCTTAAGGTTAGGACTCGGGGGCCAGCATCACCCCCAGCGGGGCAGGTACAGAACAAGATGAACAAGCCCGCATGGAGGCACCACGTCCTGCTTCCTCTGCGCATGGTCCTTCCCGAGCCACTTGGGATCCATGAGGTGAGCAGCCCGACAGCTGGGGGAGCAGGGGCAGGCGGGGCCCGGTCCCCCTGGAGCAGCAGCCCCTCCTCCGCGCTGCCCTCCACCCTGCTCCCCTCTGTGAGACGTCCTCGGATCGCTGGCCGCGGGCAGAAAGAAGGGCGGGAGCCGGGTGAAGCGGGGGGCGGTCAGTGCGTCCTGGAGGCGTCCACGCTGCCCGGGGAGCCTTTCATGTTCTGCTCTCGGGAGAGAAGAGGGGGAAGCCTGTTACCATTCCTGCTGACTAGGCTTCACAAGCAAAGATGAAGTTGGCAACTGAGACGCGGGCCCCCTCTCCCCAACAGAGAACACAGCCCGGAGGAGCAGCATCACCAAATACAGTGTGGGCCAGGAACGTGGTGGATACCAGGCAGGGGAGGTGGGGGGTGGTTAAATCTGGAGAAGCACTAGGGCCCTCCTCCCAGCCAGGCCTAAGCGGAGCTGTACCACAGCCCTGGGACCCGGGACACAGCTGGGACGCCGGAACTCAGGCAAGGAGCTGGGCAGAGAAGATGCATGTGGGTAAAGCTCTCATCCTGTTCTAATAAAAGCAATCCTGCCCATAAGCCCCGCCCCGAAGGAGCTGGGCCAGCACCAAAGCCCCTTAAAAAATCATTTTCCATCGTCTGGGGGAGATGATGCCGACCCCACACAGCTGTGGGCTCCCTAACCCACTCTCCTTAACCTGCCCTGGAGAAAAGGGAAACACAATTTCTAAAAGTCTTCTCCTCCCAGACTGTCTTAGAGAGGCGGCAGGGCAAGTGGAACCCAGGAGGACAGAAACACAAGCATCACCACAGCCCACTCCCCTCCCGACGGAACTAAGAATCTCTGTAAGAGAGGCCCATCGCAGGGCTGGCGGCACGGAAGCCGGGACCCCACCTGAGCCTGCTTTCAGCCGGACTCAGGGCCCTGGCCACCGACCTTCCAACCACGAGGGCATCAGACCAGCCCCTGTGAGCCAGGCATCTCCAGCAAGGTCCCTGAGGCTCAGAACCAGGGAGGACTCAGTCAACCTGTGGGGTCAGAGACGGAGGTCTGGCTCCCACCCGCTCTGGGACATCACACGCCCGAGGCTGCGGCACCCACAAATGATGGTGATGCGATGAGGACACTGGAAACCACCGGCCACGGAGTGCCCGGGGCCCTGGACACACGGAGACATGGGGGTCGCCCTTGAAAGAACACACATGCTCCGGGGCCTGGGTGAATGAGTCACAGACTTCACAATGGCCAGTCTCCACGCAGACCATGACGCCCCGAGGGCTGAGATGCCATGACGTAGAGACGTGGAAGGAACGGAGACCCGCATGCAGGGAGCGTTTTTTACCTTGCCAAGGTTAGTAAGGAGAGAACTTTGAGAAAATATGACAGACAGTTCGTCTTTCAAGCATAGAAGGGGGAAGGAAGAAACATGTCGGGAAAGAAAAACAAAACAACATCTTTAGTAGGATTGTCTTCTGAGCGTGCATTTGACATTTCAAAGTCGAGGAGGCATGGCAACCCACTCCGCTGTTCTCGCCTGGGAAACCCCATGGACAGAGGAGCCTGGTGGGCTGCAGTCCATGGGGTTATAGGAGAGTCGGACGAGACTGGGTGACTAAACCACAGCGTGGCTTTGTCAATTTCTGCTATGTGAGTACTATAAGAAGCTAAATAATTAAACACATTATTTATGACTAAAAAAATAAAAATAAAAAAGTCAAGGGTGCACCGTGAGGGCCAGACGGTCTCCGGCCCCCGGGGAACGGGCTGCAGGGTAGGTGCTGTGTCCCACCTGTCTGCCACGTGCCTGCTTAACCAGGACGCCAGCATCCTGGGGCCACCACCCTAAGACCCCCAGGGCACCCTGTCCCCAGTCCCTAAGGACCCCTGCGGCCCATGAGAAGGAACCCCCAGCCTGGGCAGGCCGCCAAAGCACAGGGCACGGAGCCTCCCTCAGGAGCAGCTCTTGTCCACCAGGCACTGGCCCCGAGCCAGGCATTTTGCTAAGCGCTACATCCATATTCTCATCATCACGACACCTGAACACTGGCACATCTGCATGGACGCAGAGAATACATTTTCACTGAACTGGAGGTGTTCTGACCAGAGGCAGTACCAGCCTTAGAAAGAGACAACTTCAACCTCAAAGGGTGGCTGAATGGCCCTCTCTAAGCAGGAAGATGTCCTTCCTGGCAACACCAGGCTGTGGATCAAAAGGAAGAGGACATGCACAGATGCAAAACTGTAAGGTTGCAAACCCCGAAGGCTGCTTTTCACACAAGAACATTCACCCTTGGGGCATTCTATGTGTCAAAGGGGTCACCGACACAGGACTGTTACCCTTACAGACTGACTCTGATGGGCAAGCCCACCGTTAAATACACACGTCGCAGCCGCACGAAGCGGCTGCAAAGCAGAGGCTGCGAGAGCCAGAAAGGAACCCAAACTACTCTGGGCCTCACCCCACAGGCTGCAAATGCCGGGTGCCTGGGATGGGCAGGCGAACGGGACCCGGGCAGCTCTGGAAGCCAGCAGAGAGAAAGCAGCCAGCCTTTGGGACTGGACAGCCATTCAACCACTGATTCTGCTGAGGGCTGGTAGGGTGATTGTGGGCGAGGCCTCACCCTCATCTGGGAAGTGGGGCCAAGAACTGCCCTGCGACCTCCTGGGTTTATTTTAAGGACTAAAGACTCGGGACGTGTACAAGCTGAAAAGTGACAATGTGTATTTCTGGGCAGGTATCACTCAGTCCAAACACAATGCCCAGCAGCTCCTATTTTCCAAGAATAAGCCATGTTTCTGTGTGGATGAGCCTAGCCAGCGAAGGGGAAGGCAGGGCAGGTGTGACTCAAGGAGTTAGGGTGATATTTCAGGGTGTCTCTTGTTAAAATTTGTGATATAACGGCCTCAGTTCATTCCTGTGGCTGGGGGCCACCAGAGCAGAGGAAGCACTGAGTTTATCCAGTGGAATTAACCAGCGCTGAATTAACCAGAAACTGCAGAGAGACAGCCGCACCCCATCCTGGACATGACCGTAAAGGCCAGGAGTGTTCTGATCCAGGACAATACGATGCGGACCAGTCGTGTCCAAGCAGACCACTCCGGAGCGGGGGTCCCGGAGCCGGGGTCCCGGAGCCCTTGAAGGTGAGGGATCCCTGCAGGACAGGAGGGGGCACTCGGTTCCTCCACAGTTCACTGTGCAGGTTAGGCTCTGCATAAACTTTGCTCTGCGCAAACTTCCCTCTCAAAATGGTAGGGCTCTTGGGGGAGGCCCAGAACATAAAAGACAACATCAAAAGGCAAAGACCCAGCTTCCCACCAACGTCTGACGCTAAGAGGGAAAAAGCAGACCGATGTCTAGCCACGGAGAACCGCAAACACTGACAGTCACCCCCGCCCCGAGAGGGAGCGAGGAGAAGGCGGCGGCGGCCAGGACGGCAGGAGGACGCACGGAACACCCACGCCCTGCGTCCTGTCCTGAAAATTCACGGACCCGTTCTCCTTCCTCCTTCAGATTTTACATAAACTGCCGTTAGCCTCACCACAACAGGCAGGAGGGCCAAGCTGGCAAGCAAGGAGAAAGAGATGCAAAGAGCAAAAGAATTCAGAGAAAAATACTTACAAACAGGCTTTCCCTAGCAAAGGCTGCAGAGAGAAAAGGTGGGAGAGAGTCAGTGGGGGGAAGGGAGAGGGCCTGGGTCACTGGGGACCAGGCATTCTCTGTGGGACGGAGCCCTGGGCACCCCCAGCCTGGCCAGTGGCTTCCAGGTCGGCAACCCTGCAGGACGCGCCCTGCCCACCATCACCCGGGGCAGCACGGCCTTGACCGTCACCAAACCCCGCCCAACAGGTCCCTATGTCTGTGACTGTGGCCTCTCATCTTCCATCTGTGACCCCACCATTTACACCAACACACTATGTCACTGACATGCCACTTTAGCTTTAAGTTTTCACAAAATCACCGCTGATGTTGAGCCCGAAAGGACCACTAATTAGATGTCTTCCGGCCAGTCTGTCTCCCTCATT